AGGCAAGTAACTAATTTTCAGTTTACTCAGATGCAATTTATCCAACATTAACATGAGTCACAATCCAGCCTAATCACCCTTTCAAGATTACTTCTGCTCTAACCAGATTCAAAAGCCCTTCCCCCCATCCTTAAAAGTAGGACAGTCAGCTAACTCAGATGAAGAATGTATTAAGTTGGACAAGACAAATAATTCATATTTTTCTTCTTTCATTCTCTAACAACTACACTGAAGCTAAGAAAGTAGCTTACATGGTCTCCACCTACTCAGTACACATACCTATGAATTTTAAATATGAATAGCACACTCACAATGCCATAATTATTTTTAAATAAAGAAAACTCCAAGTAATGAAAAAATGATCAATGGTGGCTATATTTTAATATGACACAGTATTTCTGATGCCTTCCAAAACGATATTTAACTAAATAAGTTCACATAATTGAGATTATATAATAGACTTGAAGGATCTGCCATGTGTAGGTTCTACAAAATTCCCAAAAGCATGTCATGAATCCAATGAATGTCTAATAAACTGTCATAATCCTTATTACAGTAGTTAATCAAAAGAAGACTTCTCAAACACTAAAATTCTGTATGAGAGAAAGAAACATATAACCCTGGAAATCTGTGATGGCTACATGCCAGTAACTCTCTTAGCTCTGCGGGTATCACTCTGCACTTAGGAGTGACCAGCAGTGTGCTTGCCTGAGATCTACAATAGGAAAACTAGTATTCGCATAATAAAGATGCTTTTGAGCTATTACTTGTTTCTGATTTTAATCACTCGCCTGTAAAATGGACTCCTTCAATGAAACTCTAAAAAGAAGAGCAATTAAAATATATCATGAGATACATTTAAAAAATAATTGAACTTAATGTTAGAAGAGTCATTTTAAAAAGCTCTTGTGTGACAGATAAGAAGTTACACGATGTGACAGAAGGCAAAGAAGTTAAGAGAAGGAAAGACCACAAAGATGCATGCAAATCAAAGTTAAAAGAACTACAAATGGAAGAGCTGCCTTAAAAGCACTAGAAGAATCTGAGAAGGCAGAACCAAAGAATACTGAGAGAAATCTACCATTCTTTAGGTGATACATCATTAACAAGAACTCTGAGATAACTAATGACTCAAATTGTCACCATCAAAAACATTTGCTAGCCAACATGGCCATGACACTAGTTGGACCTGGGTTACTGCAAATTAAAAAGAACCATATGTTCTAAAATTGGAGTTACAGCCTGGGCAACTTGGCCAGACCTCATCTCTACAATTAAAAAAAAAAAAATTAGTCATGGTAGTGCACACCTGTAGTTCTAGCTACTTGGAAGGCTGAGGCTGAGGGATCACCTGAGCCCAGCAGGTCACCAGTGGGGTGGCCATGAGCGTGCCACTGCACTCCAGCCTGGGTGACGAAGTGAGACACCAACTCAGATAGATAGATAGATACAATTTTGGGGCTACACAAATTTTATCACTAATACCTTAATTGCTTAATGAGTAAAATTCTCTAAACATTCACTTAATAGAAAACAAGATTTAATGATTTTTTTCCCATGGTTCCACTGGCAGAAAAGAGTTGCAATCAATACCAGACCTTATATATTCCTGACTTCCTCACCTATGTTCACCCAGTAGGCCTCTAGAACGCACTATATTTTCACTAGAATACCTGCAAATCAATTATTAACATTTTGGTTCTAGGATAATGAAACTGTAACAAGCATCCTTCAATGACATTCAGAAAAACGAACACATTAGCTCTAACTTGATATGCAGACCTAATTAGAGGCTCAAGGTAAGCAGAGGAAAGAGAACAATACAAGACACGAGAGCATCATTTGCACTAAGTGCCCCTTAAGGCAGACTACTATTTGATCATACATTCACCGAGGAATTTTTTGTAGCTTAAAAATGACTGCATTAATAGCAAGGAAATAAATAGGTATACAAATGCCTACGTATACCTAATGAACCACAGAGAATAATGTCTAATATTGTTGTGCCCTTACTATGTGCTAGGCACAGTTAATCTTCACCACTATTTTACAAGGTAGGTGCTTTTAACATCCTCATTTATCAGCTGAGTAAATCCCAGGTACACAGTGGTTAAATTACATGCCTGAGATCATGTTAAGCAGCTGAGATACAAATCCTGTCTTTCTATACTACAACGATGAGAGAGTATGCTTTCCTAATTATCATGTAATTCTACTACTGCTCTTTTTAGTAGTACTAAATCCATTTTAACATAACAAAACCCCCACACTAACTGAAAATAATACTTTTCATATAATTTACTTTGAAAACATCAGAGTCTTTTGAATTCTGGAAATGTTTATCAAACAATTAGTTTTCAGCATAAAATTATAGAATGTTAGCCTACTCTAATACAGTCATCTAATATTTTAATCTAGATGACAGTTTGTCTCTTTCCAATGTCAGGGAACTACCAGCGCTTCCACTAACAATGCAGCACATTGTCTTAAACTTTTAAGTAGAAGCTCACTCAGTTTTACATCATTTCATGTATAAAAGTAGTCAACTCAAACTTCTCAATCCTTAGATATCACGAATCATCTAAAAACCATTTATAGTTGGTGTTAGCATGCTTTAGAGGTAAACAACATGAATATGATAAAGTAGAAAAAACTGCACTGTAGTCCAGAGGCCTGTCCATCAATACTGGCTCTACTAACCAGCAATTTAGTACTTTCAACTGTTCTGTGCCTTGGTTTCCTGATCTGCAAAATAACCATCGCCACGATATACTCTTCCAGCTCTAAAAGATATATGACTCATACACACACATTTTTTTCCCAAGCCTCCCATTCTCATTCTGTTTAGTTATTACCATTACTTCACAGCCAGTAAGTGTCACTTTTCCTTAGTTCTACAAAAGGAGAAAGCCCAATCTAAACAAAGATGAGAGGGGACAGCTTTTCGGACCACTGGTTTGCCACTGATGATTCTCAAGGTGAATAATGTAGAAGCCATTATAATGTTAAAAGGTGTTAGGTTTCAATATTTTAGGATACTATTTTGCATGCCAGTACATTCTCCCTAAGGACAAATAGGAAAATTCAAGGACAATAGGGAGAAAAAATACCTAATTATCCACTAGTTATTCAAGAACTAAGAAGGTGCCAACTGAAAATATGAACATTTTTTGTGGAAATGTTTCCTGATGAATTAAAGGGCAAAATATGACCTATGAATTTGTGTAAGATGGGTTTAAATACCTCCTAATCAAACAGCTTTCATTTTGTAAACTGTACTCTGCAAATGTAATGAACTAGTAGTATCTATAGGATTAAGAATATATTTAAAAGATCAAAGATCTAGCTGTGCAATTCTTAGCTTACTCTTCTCAGTGAAATGAAGAACCTCCAAGGACTGCCACAGAGGGGGACTACGGAGACCGCCACTGTCTAACCTCAGCATGCGTTTTCTACGTTCCCAGCCCACTCTCAAAAGTGTTATGTAAATACAAGATTATTAAAATTAAACTAAACCTCTGACATTAGGATTACCAATTGTTAGGAAACTCAACCTGATTTCAGTACGCCTTCTAGAGCTGCTGGCTTACCGACATCTCCTTCCCAGTTCAATACTTAAAGCTACAATATGTTAAAACTTTTATAGAATGTGTAGTCCAATTTTGCATGAGCTTGTAATGTGAATTACATATTAGCCTTCCAAAAGCCAGTAGTAAGTAACAGTCCAGTCTAAATGTTAAAATTGGTAAGAAGTAAGCCACCACTATAGTTGAGGAGGTTGCTACAAGAATTTCAAGGTGTAGTTATGAGAATTTCCAGCACCAATAATAAGTGATAAAAATACCGACAAATACATATACACATTTTAAAATAAAGGATAATTAACAAAGTCCAGCAGCAAGGCACCTATTGCTTGGAATATCAAAAGAAAATGTCCAAACCTCCTCTTAACTCCAGCCCCTCAAGACTTTCAAAGTTCAGAACCAAACCAAAAGGTACTTACACTGTTTTGGGGGATCATTCTTTAAATGCAACTCCCTCTCCACAAAGTCACTCCGCTTCTGCTACTCGGATGCCCCAACCCCTTAGCCAAAGGATCCCAGGAGCCCAAGTAGTCGCAGAGGGGTCTTCCAGCGCCTGCCTGGGCATCCCTCCCTACCACGGGTTAAACCTCCCAAGGTGCTCCATTCACTGCCCCCAGCCACGCTACCCGGCTCCCTCCCTCACCTCCCAGGGGACCTTTTCCCATCGACCTTGAGGACCCCCAGATCAGGCCCTCGGAGCCCTAAGTGGCTTGGCCGGTGCCCCCTTCCCTGCAGCTTGCGTACCTGCTTCACTCTCCGGTGGCCTCTTCCCGACCCACCACGACTCTGATCACCAGTGCCGTCCTTCTAGCCGGGACGCCCCCCTTTCCCTTCCCCTCCCACCCGAAAAGCAATGCCACAGAAAGGCAGCGAGCGCCCACTGAGCGCCGGCCCCGACTACGCGCGGCGCGGTCTGCACGGGGCTCGCGGCCCCGGCTGGCCGTCCTTTCCCCGGCCGGCCCATTCCGGCCCGAGGGCCGGCGCTGCCTCCGCCGGGGTGCGGGGGCGACAGGCGGAGGCGGGCTGCGCCGGGCGCCGGCACCGAAGCACG